TAACTGTTAATCTATCTATCTGTCTATCTATCTATCTATCTATCTATCTATCTATCTATCTATCTATCTATCTATCTATCTATCTATCTATCTATCTATCGTATGGAGCTATCTATCTGGAGGTCCTATATATAAACCCCTACCCCACCCTCTCGAGGCTTCACATCTTCACGTGACACATAACCCCCCTCAAACATTCAATTCTCTTCAATCCTCGCATCACCCTCGCCCACCCCTATCTCCTGCCCCACCAAGTCCTTTCTTTTTTTTCCACCTCGAAACCTCTCAGAGCCCCACAACATCCTCTACTCTATTAATGCCCACGAAGAACGTCGGGGGGATTTTTGCTCTCGCTCTGAGCATTATGCCAGGTCTCGCTGTCCTGAAAATAAGGTGCGTGCAGAAACCCGAGGTCCTATCTCAAAGCACCCAATGACCTTCTTACATCTGTCTCAATTTCTGTGTAGTCTGCTCCAGGTTGGGTCAAGACACTTGGGATAGCGGGAAAAACAATGAAAGGAAAAAATGGAAATAGATGTAATTGTTGTGGGCATTACATGTTCATTCGGGCGATCTTTGGAGATTGCTGCACAGGATGAGGCGGAGCTGAAGAAGGGTTTACATTCATCCGAATGGGCGGGTCTTCTTTATCGGGTGGAATGTGTGAACCCACTGCGCATGTATCGCTATTTAACAGCAAGGCGAAACGTTAACCTCTGTTGCAGATACAAAATTGCCTTGTGGTCAAAAAGGTTATTAATATGTTCGTCATAAGACCGTCGTGACTGCTAAGAGTATCGTGGAAGGAAAAAAATCAAACGAGGAAGTGCTTGATGAGGTAGACGCTCAATGTTAAAAACAATCGGGAAACAACAATGAATGCAGTTTTTGGGACACCTGAATAGACATAAATGATTGAATATCTAGCTCTCACTGGCAAAATTGAAGGCAAACGAGGCAGAGTTAGGCCCAGAACAACCTGCTTAGGGATCCTAAACAAATGGGGTAACAAAGAAAGATCAAGATAAAGTTGCTTTTTTAGAGCATCTGAGCAAAGGAATGAATGGAGAACAATGATCTCCAATGTCTGTCGCAGATCTGACACTGGATGAGGATGAGGATGAAGACAGTCGAGACGTCTCCATGTGAGTCTCTTAAAGTGCTCACTGTTTGTCGTTCTTTCCCTCAGTGCTCAGCGTCTTAGAGTGGTCAAACGCAGCTTTCGTTCGTTAACGTTGGGGGACGTCACTGCCACGAGCTCAAGTACTGTTATGACCTCTTTACTCTGAATCCTGTGTTACCTTTAGCTATTCGTCGTCTTCCTCTTCGTCAAAATGATTCCATGAAGAAGAAGAAGAAGAAGAAGAAGAAGAAGAAGAAGAAGAAGAAGAAGAAGAAGAAGAAGAAGAAGAAGAAGAAGAAGAAGA